CCAACAAGAACAAAGGCATCACCTGGGGAGAGGAGACCCTGATAGGGTATTTGGAGAATCACAAAAAGTACATCCCCAGAACAAAAATGATCTTTGCTGGAATTAAGAAGAAGGGAGAGAAGGCGGACCTAATAGCTTATTTTAAAAAGGCTACTAATGAGTAATTCTGCTGCCTTATTTATTACAAAACAAATGTCTCATGACTTTTAAGGTGTACCCTAATTTAATTCATACACCAAAATTCAGATCATGAATGGCTAATAATGTTTTTGTTGGACAGTCCTGATTTAACTAAAACTGTGACTCATAGTAAAGTGGATACTATTCTTTTTTAAAATTAAAAAAAAAAAAGGAGGGAGGGAGGAAGGAAAGAAGGAAAGAAATGTCTGCAGTGAACGGGAACCATTGCCAGGATGCTCCAGTGTGTGGCTGTTGCCCCCAGGGGCAGCTTTGTGACGTTTTGAGCAGACACTGTTTTGCTGACTGGCTCTGTGTTATGGTGCTCTGAGCTTGTTGATGACCACATTCTTTTGTGGCAGCCGCATATTGCACATGCCTCTTCTGTGTTTAGGCCGTAATCTGCTGTGACCGAGTGGCAGCACCATCTGCATAGCCTGTGACTGCATAGCCTGTGAAATTGCTAGTACAGTGTGAACAGTGTTGTCTCAGGCACGATGTCTCCCTCATCTTAGTCCTGCAGAGACTCGGGTATGAGAGAGATCACTGGCAGTGCCTGTGTGGGCTCCCTGATGGGAGCAGCTCTTAGTGTTTCTTATATGCAGATTCAGGGAACATCTGTGTGCTTGGTGCATACCTCCCTGAACTTGATACCTTAAGTAATTGAGCATGTTTGTGTTGTAATGTTTTATTTTATGTGAACTGGTCTTTTGCCTGCATATATGTCTGTATGAGGGTGTCAGAACACCTGGAACTGGAGTTACAGTTTTGAGCTGCCATGTGGGTGCTGGGAATTGAACCTTGGTCCTCTGGAGGAGCAGCCAGTGCTCTTAACCACTGAACCATCTCTCCAGCCGCCTTAGCCTAAATGCTATTCACAGGTTTCATCATTCCAGCCAGGAGCATGTTAAAGCACTGAGCAGTGGTATACCTCCTCGCCCATTCCAACCAAGACTTTCTGGCTCTTTGGCACTGCTATCCCTTGTGACTAACTTCACGGCATGGCTTCCACACTTGTGACCCTCTTTATGCCTTTGCTTTATCTGTAAATGGGCTCACAACTACCTCAGAAACTTGGGAAAATTACAGATGTTTGTAAAATATGTGGAACAGTCTTTATAGAGAGGACATAGACTCAGCTTTGCCAGCTCATGCCAGGCCGCAGCTTAATAAAAGATACTGGCCTTTCAGTTATGTTAGCTTGACAGACCACTATAGAAAAAAAGACAGAACACTCTGGCAGTGACTCTTTCCCAGAGGTCAAATGAAGGAGCCTGAGGGCACATGGCAGTCCCAAGGACCACTACTCAGGGCCCAGAGCCACAAGGACAGGGTGGGTCTTGGGTCACATTTATATATAGTCTGCATATTTATATCACTTTCTATGTAAGAATCCTTCCCATTGCCTTATAGTATGTTTTCTAATTTCCTACAGAAAGAATTTAGATTCAGCTTGTAAATTGGAAAATAAAAACTACCAGCATTAGAATGACAATGCCTAAAAAAGGGAGAAACTGTTTCCTTTCTATCCCATCTAGAAAAGCCATTGCCAGCATGGTAGAAAAATTTTTAGTTATGTAGTCTCTCTCTGTCTCTGTCTCTCTCTCTCTCTCTCTGTCTGTCTCTCTGTCTCTGTCTCTTCTCTCTCTCTCTCTCTCTCTCTCTCTCTCTCTCTCTCTGTGTGTGTGTGTGTGTGTGTGTGTGTTTTGTTTTTTGGGAGTTTTTTTGGTGTTTTTTTTTTTTTGGTTTGTTGTTGTTTTGTTTTGTTTTTTTGTTTTCAAGACAGGGTTTCTCTGTAGCTTTGGAGGCTGTCCTGGAACTAGCTCTTGTAGACCAGACTGGCCTCAAACTCACAGAGATCCGCCTGCCTCTGCCTCCCAAGTGCTGGGACTAAAGGGGTGTACCCCCATTGCCCAACCTTTTTTATGTTGTTTTTTTTTTTTAATCAGATTTTCAGTTCTGTGTTCTCACTGTCAAATAATTTGAATTGAGAAGAATTTCTAGAACAAGTCTATGTACTCACAGTAAGAAGGCCTTTGGCTTTTAAGGAGTGTCTCTGGGCTTGCCAATATTTCTTGGCAGGGTAAGAGTAGGTTGCACTCTGAAGAGTGATTCTCCGGGACTTCATTTCCTTTTAGTTCTAGGAACTCAACATTTTAATTTTATTCAAGATTTCAAGCTACAAACCATGCTTAATCAGCTGCCTCAGAATAACACAGGCACCAGAACCTTCTGGCTATGTTGGAAATAGCACCATGTTTTTAACAACTGTAATGGATAGAAAGCTACGACTGCACATTAAAGTAATTGAGCTTTTAAAAATTGTATGCAAGTTTTAAGTGTTCATTTGATGCCCTGAGGAAAACAAATTGCTCCTCTTCAGTCTTTTGTGACTTGCTGAATGGTAAGGACAGTTGCTCATCACAGCAGCCACCCTGCACTGAGGCAGCCGAAGCTACCCAGGCATAGGGTCAGCTGAAGCAACTGATTCACAGAGCAACAGTGGCTCTGTCAGACAGTGGCTTCTTCTGTAGCTGAAGCTTGCCTTAGCTAAGGGGTACCTTCGGAAATGGGAGACAGGCTTCACTGAGTGAACTTGGCAGTGCAGTCTGTCATAGGCTTGATGGGTAACATTACCTCAGCTAATGCTCTCAGCCCTTGTTCAGCACTTTACAGGCACAGGACAGTGGCTCTCAGAGACATTAAGTGGCTCTGAGTTCTGCTTCCTGTGGCTGGAACTAACTGGATAGAGGAGTGAAATCTGATCGAACCAGTGGAAGCCCCAAACACAAGCATGTGCACATGGGAATCTGCCCTTTGACACTGCGGCTGCTGGAAGGCATATGGATGGGACTGTTACTGAGTGCTCCCTTCCCTTAGGCTGTGATGATGTCCAGTGATCTCACATTTGGACTAAATTCATCTCCCTGTGACTGTGGAAATCTGTACAGCCACTGGTACCAGTTACGTAGCTGCAGGGACTGTTTCACTACCACTGAAGGGGGCCCTGAAGCCAGGACATAGCTTTCGAGGGTTGCCTAAACCAGCATCGAGAATGGAGGGGAGATGAGCATGTCAGCAGACCAAGAGGTGGCTTCCCTGGGCACTCTAGCAGTCTGCTGGTAGCGGTCAAGAACTTCTTGGCTATTAGAAGTGTAAGCAGTTTTAGGGCAAAAGTGCCATCTCTGGGAGTCACAATGGACACAAGTTGGCCACCCATCCCAACCTAATGTTTAAAGTGGTGTTGGGATGAGAGGGATTTGCTTACTGCACTAGGAGGAGCAGAAAGTCTGGGAGGGAGAGGGAACTGGGATTGATACGTAAAATAAGATTGTTTCTAATTTAAATAAAAAGAAAAGAAAAGAAAAAAATAGCTACTACCTCATGGAGAGAACACAGTAGAGAAGGTTGTGAGCCAGAAGGTGCACCGGGATTTAAGAACTGGGTGTGGAGAAGCAGGGCCCGGAAATCCAGCCTGTACAGTTAAGCTTGAAATACTCAAGTCTTCTAAGACTAGTTGTGGAAGACAGGATGGTGACATATGGAGTCATAATTTCTCTTTATAACAGCAACAGAAGGAATGATGACCTTGGTGCTGACAGGGCAAGAAGGCCCACCCAGTGATGAATTTTCTCCATCTTTACTGTTTATGAGGAGAAAATGGGCAGCAGGGACGGAGAGCCAACACAGAAATTAACAACATGGTCTTCTGAAGTCAAAGGTGCATCACTGGTCTCCACCCACACACGTGTGTGCAATGTAAGAACAGTGCAGCTCAAGAGCTTCAGTGGTAGCATTTGGATGTTAGTGTGGAAGGACTTAGTCCTGGTCACATGGAGTGTTCACTCCCTCAAGGGAAGTACCTACTGAATAAGACATACAGGAGACATTTGTTGTTGGGAGTTTTTCTTAAGGACACTGACATCTCTGTCTGTCCCTTTTTCACGTACACAATATTTCATATCAAAAAATATGAACTGGGCATGAGCTGAGGTGTTGGTACTATAAACCACCACTTCGGAACTGGCTTTATGAGATTTGCAGCTCTCAGAAACACATCCTTCCACCTGTGGGCCCCTATCACCATCACAAAATGACCACCTAACTGTGGTGGTGTTGCATTCCCAGAGTCACCACCTGGGAATGTTACAGGGAGAGTTGTTTCCCCCTGTAAAGAGTAACTCTGCTTGCTCTTATCCTACTGTGGCTTGGACATCTGCAACTACTGGCTGTCCTCAGAGTCCTTGAGACAACGAGGCAGAGAACCTTAAACTTAAAAACCTTTTCACTTTCATATTCAGGGCGTATTCCTCTAGACAAGGGATGATTTATTACAGGTTATAAGGGGACCTGTAAATCCAGCACTCAGGAAGGCTGCAGTGTGATTGCCACAAGCCTAAGGCCAGCCTGGGCTACATAGCAAGACCCTGGCTCCAGAAAACAAGCGAAAAAAAGTATCTTTTAAACACCTAAAACTTAGCCGGGCTGTGGTGGTGCCTGCCTTTAATCCCAGCACTCAGAAGGCAGAAGCAGGCAGAGCTCTGTGAGTTCAAGGCCAGCCTGGAGAAATAAAACAAAATAAAAACTTAAATTGTAATAGGAAGCGTGGTGCAGCATTCATATTCAGACATGGCTCAGTCTTACAGGTTTATATTTTTTATATCCTTATGAAACTTCCTAGCTATGTAAATATAGGCCTGGTTTTGTTGACATCTTGAGTACCATTGTTGGCACAACTGTCTTGCTGCTGCCCTTGTTAGACAGTGTGTGAGATCTTTTACTCTGGATTCTAACAATTCAATTCTTGGCTTTTTTTTTTTCAGAGACTATCACCATGGCTTCCAACCAGACCAATGAGGTTAACAGCAGCACCGTAACTGCAGGACTGCCGAGAAATGTCACAAGTGTCACTGTGAAACCTACAACTATTGCTAAAATATCAACACCAGTAGTCTCACCACACATAACTTCCACTGTCTCAAAGTCTACACCCAAAGCAAGTGATTCTCCAAACTCAACCCATACGTCAGCATCCATGATGACTACAGGCCACAGTAGTTTAAAGACATCTATAACGAGTATGTATTACAATTACTGTGCTGTAAATCAGTTGTTAAATGCCACGTTAAAGCCAGCATTCCATTCTGCAAAAACATAGAAACTTCATGTGCCCAAATTTTCCCTCATCCCTTCAGCATTCTTACATAGACAGTCAGACTTCAGAACATGCACTGTCTTAAATACAAACATGTTTTGTTTCCTTTTAGTAACAGCAACTATTCATCCTGACAAAAGTAAAGGATCAAAGTTTGACACCGGCAGCTTTGTTGGAGGAATAGTGTTAACCCTGGGAGTTCTATCTGTTCTCTACATTGGATGCAAAATGTATTATTCAAGGAGAGGCATTCGGTATCGAAGCATGTAAGTTTGTCCATTCTACATAGCTTTATCATGACTGTACCAGAGTCAGACCATGGGGCTCTCAAGGACAGACTTGTGCTATGCTCATGTGCAGACTTGTGCTTACAAACGAAAGCACACCTGTAAGCACGGCTGTGCTTTCCCTGGCATCAAAGCCTGCTTTACCCACATGTAGCAAACGCATTTGAGTTTTTGCTTTTACCATGCATCATAAGAAATGACATACCAGGTCTCATCAGCCTAGTGACTTACTTCACATGCTCTGTATATGTCTGTGGTACCAAAAAGTATTTTTGGTATAAACATGGTTCTAACTTTTTGTGACAGACACAGACACAAAAGAAATTCCTGTTTAATTTTCCCTGGTAATAGTAGTTCCTGTATGCATAGCTCTGTAAGCCATGTATAGTGTTCTATGACTTGATCATAGACTTTAAAGTTGCTAGAGTTGCTTAACTTCCTAATTTTACCCTTTATGGGTTAATTTTTCCCTCATGTGTACATGACCAGATAATGGCATGTGCCCTAAGAAAAGTCACAGGGATTTGACTATGGGCCTGCTTGGCAATGTTAACACTGCAATGTACTGGGTATGCATAAAACTTAATGCTGAGCAGCAAAAGTTAATTTTGATTGTGAAAATGGAAATTGTTCTAGTGTTACCTTCCTTACAAACAATAATTTTACAGTAATTAAAATTTTCTATATCTTACAGTGATGAACATGATGCCATCATTTAAGGTACCCCCAACCTTGGCCAAAGAAAGAAGAGATTACAGCCCTATCAATTAGTTTGGTTTATATTAGCTCAAAATATTATTTTCTTGGAAATAGTATAAGCAAGCCATTTATAAAATGAACAGTGTGTTCCATGAATATCTGGAAATCCCTCATTACTAAAGGTAAAGGGTGTGGTTTGGGCAGTTCAGTGAATATTTGGAACTCACAGATAATTTATCCAGTGATTATATTTGCTCTAGAAAGCTGTAGCAAGACAAGGCCTGTCTTTGGGAGTATGCGCATGGCACTGATTGTCACTGAGGGGCAGGATCCCATGCAGTTGTGGAGCCTGCCACAGCACTCCATTTTCTGTCTTTATTGATCACATAAAAACCTGAATGCCATTCAGAACTGGGTGTGCCCTAATTAACACCTTGAGCTCCACAGCTCAGCTAACCAGCTCAACTTAAGGAAGAGTCAGCATTTTAGGGTTTAAAGTCAGGGTTGATCTAGAGAGAACTTACACTCTGACACAGCCCTCACAACACCATGTTCATGTTAAAGGCCACCAGAGCACTGTGGAGTGTGGACTTTACTATCCATGTCGATGTTCCTTCCGCTCTGTATGATTTAGACAAGCTGCAGTGCCTGATACGCTTCTCAAAAGATGCAGCAGCAGGCCTGGCATTGTAGGAAAACACAACTGCTGCCAGGGAAACCTGTCAAAGCACCTGAAACCACCGTTCACAGGCAGTTGTCAATTTGAGTTGTAGTGAATGTTTTTTAGGCACTTTATAGCTGCTTTCCATATGTAGAAATTTGTAATGGAATGCAAAATACCTTTTTTAAGTCCCCATTATATGATTTCCAAATCAGTGTTAGGAGTCTACATTGATGGCAAAATACTGTTTTCTAAAGCAGGGACTGTGAAGCCCCCAGGCCACTAAACCCACAGGGTGGAGATGCTGTAGTTTTCACAGTGTCAACTTACTCAGATTTGAGAAAATGACTTTTATACTAACCTATATTTTGGAGTAAATTCCAGCTTCCTTATCCCCATGCCAGTCCTCATCCTGGAAAGGGAGCTGCATCTTGGTGTTTGCAGGAAAAGCAGCATCCGGTCACCCTAGCAGCCCATATTCTCTGTGGTATTTAGTTCTATAGTTTGTATTCCAGGTCAAACTCAGGGTCACGTTTAACAAAGGAGGTATTTAGTTACAAAATACTAATATAATATTTCTATTGTAGAGGGCCAAAATAAATTATAGCAATTTCTGAAAGTGTATAAATAAGCCAAAAATATCCTAATGAGTGCACACCTGTTACAGTTAAAAAAAATAAGTGTAACTTTTGTAATCTGCTTCTAGTTTTCAAAAAGCACAAACTAGCAAGAATTTTTTATATAAATAAGAATCATTTCTACTTGCTGTATGTTAGGGCCAACATGGAATACTCAGCTCTGTATTAGTGCAGAGAGGAGGGAGGAAGTTCTAGGAAATGGAACATGAGGTTAGATTAGTTTCAAGGCTGGGCTGATGGGAAACCAATGCTTTCTTGTTGGCCGCTTGTCTTCAGAATATAGTTTAGGTTTAACATGTTTTTGTTTGCTGCATCCCTGGTCCTTCAGTGCCAGCCGAAGATGCCCTTGACTGCCTGTAGCTCTAGCACTTTGAAGATGGAAACCACTTTCTTAAAGCACTGTCTTTATGTGCCTCTTAGTTTCTGCTCATTTGGGGGGTTAAAAGTAATGTTGTTAAGGCTTTTCTAATTTGTTACTTTCAAATGCCAGGACCTTTGTTGAAGGGATTTCTTTTTAATCTGCCGGAATTGACCACATGTCTTCTGAGACTGGCTTAAGCAAATGCTCATCTTTGCTAGCTTTCCTATAGTGTGTGTGTGTTAAAATAGCACATCTTAGATGTTCAGGTGGACACCAGGCTAAGCTACTCTAGCTTTAAATTTTACTTTGGTAATTCCATAAAAGGAAGAGAAATGAGAGTTGGCAACATATTTTATGGTGTGATAATTTTGTATCTTCAGGGGAAAGATTAGCCAACTCTTGTTACCCATTTTTCTATAATGACCAATTTTGGTATTTTGTTGTTACTAAGATGTATTTTTAGAATAAAATTCATTCTCCATTCAAAATTTTTAGTGCTTTATTGAATGTGTGCAGAGGTTTTATTTATCCAGTATATAATCCTGTTGCTTGCACAGTAAAAGCCTGCTTTTACTCGTAGGCCATACCTTGAATTGTTTAGTCTCACAACAAAAATGTCTACTTCTCGGCACAGACTTTGAAAGTTTGCCATTGGAGTCTCAATATTCTTGGGTGCAGTTTCTTTTGCAGCAGATAAGCAACCATCGGTTTCCACCAGAGGCTGCACCCCATGGCCACATTCACACACCACAAAGCAGACAGTTTACTCCAGGAACCAGGTGCCATCTCTCCTGACCCTGCACAAACTCACAACACACCAGACCTAAGCTCTGATGCTGCACCGTGGACCCTCAAGCCATGTGTACATTTAACCTGCCAGCCCAGCTGTCAGGGAGACTAAGGCCTTGCTTCAAACCCCAGCTCTAGGCCTAGACATCCAACATCAGTGCTGCTATCTTAAACAGCCACTGTAAGGTGCCTATTTACTAATACCAGCTCATGTGGTCACCAGACGTCACCTTTACCCGACAGCCACTGTAGCCAGGTGCGTATCACATGCTGTTGCTCCCAATTCTTGGCTGCTTCACAGGTGGTACCTAGATACTGTCATGACCTTGTCACAGGGGCCCTGATCTAGAACCTATGCTTCAGTCTCTGGACCCATAGCCTCTCCACAGGCACCCTTCAGATACTGGTGACATCACCTGAAAGCTGGACCCAGTGCCTTGAAAAGCCTTAGTGATGACCTCTGTGGTACAAAATGGCTCCAGCAGATATCACAAGTGAAGACCCACGAAACTGAGCTACTCACAGTACAGAGGTCTGGAGACCTTAAAATGTCTGCCAAAACTATGTCAGCCACCAGCTGTCCCCTCCCGTGTGCCAGGCCATCACACCTCTCACCAGTGCCTTTTCTTCCTCTTCCTTCCTTCCTTCCTTTCTTCCTTCCTAAATGCAGTCTAGCATTCCCCTAGTTACACTGCGGGAATGCTCAAGGAGGGAGCCATCTGGCTTTAGAATGGGCATCAGGAAGATGAGGCATTTACGGCGACAGCTGCTACACTACTGCTAGTGGGTACATGACATGAGAGGATGAATTATGACAAGCAATAGAAATGGCAAGAGGTGTGGTAAAAGTCCAGAGTAGTTTACACAAAGTTAGTTCCTAAATTAACCACTGGGTTATATAATATATAACAGCCAATGGGAACACAAGATAAAACACTAAAGCATATTACCGCTGCTGGCATAGAAGATGACCCAGTCATGGGAGACAGCCGGCGGATTTGCAGCACCTAAATAAGAACACAATTCTTGACTGTGTACACAGTGCTGGAGTTTGGATTCCCAGTCCCCACATAAGAGCTGGGGTGGCAGTGCACACCCATAACCCCAGTGCTGGGGAGCAGAGACACAGGAAGTCCCTGGGGCTTGTGGCCAGCCAGTCTACCCAAAAAAGGTGAGCTCTAGGTTCAGTGAGAGACCCTGCCTCAAAAAGAAGATGGACAGTGGTAGAGGAAGGTCATCCAAAAGTAGCTTCCCACCTTTACATACACATGCGCAGATGAATACACACCATTGAATAGATTTAAACAATACTCAGCTTCATGCCACCTTCATGTAAGCAACTCACTTCGCTTTTAAAGACAAAGTGTACAAGTGTGGGGATGGAAAAAGATACTTGTGTATGAAAAAAAACCAAAAAGACTGCATTTAGATAAATTAAACAAGTTAAAAACCATATGCTGGTGAGGATGTGGAGAAAGGGGAACACTCCTCCATTGCTGGTGTGAATGCAAATTTAATACAGCCACTTTGGAAGTCTGTATGACAGTTTCTCAGGAAAATGGGAATCAGTCTACCTCAAGATCCAGCAATTCCGCTCTTGAGCATATACCCAAAAGAAGCACATTTATACCACAAGGACATTTGTTCAACCATATTCATAGCAACATTAGTTGTAATATCCAGAACCTGGAAACAACCTCGGTGTCCCTCAACTGAAGAATGGATGCAGAAAATGTGGTGCATTTACACAGCAGGGGAAAAACAACGGAATCTTGAAATTCACAGGCAAATGGATGGAACTAGAAGAAACCATCCTGAGTGAAGTAACCCAGTCACAGAAAGACAAACATGGCATGTACTCACTTGTATATGGATTTTAGACATAGAGCAAAGAATTTGCAGCCTACAATCCACAACCCCAGGGAAGCTGGGAAACAAGGAGGACCCTGAGAGAGAGATACATGGTCCCCCAGAGAAGGGGAAAGGAACAAGATCTCCTGAGCAAATTGGGAGCATGGGAAGAGGGGGGGGGAAACATGAGGGATGAGGAAGATCAAATTGGAAGAATAGTAGAGAGCAAGAAAATAGATCCCTTAATAGAGGGAGCCATTATAGGTTTAAAGAGAAATCTGGCACTAGAGAAATGTCCAAGGATCCAGAAGGATGACCCCAACTAACAATTTAAGCAATAGTGGAGAGGCTACCATAAATGCCCTTCCCTATAGTGAGATTGATGACTACCCTAAATGCCATCCTAGAGCCTTCATCCAGTAGCTGATGGAAGCAGAAGCAGAGAGCCACAGCTAAGCACTGAGCTGAACTCTTGGAATCCAGTTGTAGAGAAGGAGTGATGAGCAAAGGGGACAAGACCAGGCTGTTGAAACCCACAGAAACAGCTGACCTGAACAAGTGGGAGCTCTTGGCCCCCAGACTGATCACTGGGAAAC